GAGCGCGCTGACCACGGCACTGCTGGGTCGTGTTGATTAGCGAGGGGCCAGAGATATGACTAACCGTGAGCCACGTCCCCGGAACCGAAGTTCGCCCGCACTTCAGATCGATCCGGTTGTTGGCATCCCTGAACCGGAACTCCACGCGATCTGCATCATTGCCGTAGCCTTCGGGCGAGGCACGATCGGTAACTCGCAACTCGCACGTGCTCATGGCATGATCACTTGCCATCGGAGTAGACCCGGGCCCCGACCTCGAACGAGGTCACCGAGACTTTCCAGCCGACGAACACGGAGATGACGATGGACGGCCGGAACCAACCGTCGCTAGCCGACCGGATCAAAACCTCGTCGCAGAACTGCTGTTGCACCGACAGGTCGGCGTCCGAGCGATAGCCCCCCGAAACACCCGGTGGAAAAGGACCTCATTCCCGTTGAAGACCTTGACATCCACATAGGTGGCCGAGGTGTCGAACATGACCGGCCACGTGAACGGCTGAAAAGCCGGGTGCGACAGAGCTCGGCTCGCATGGGAGTCCCACTGAGCACATGGGCCTCCCGTCTGCGAGGTCATCGAGAACAGCAAGATCGCCTTGATGCCGTCGAGCGTCTAGTTCGCGAAAAGCGAACAATGGTAGCCCGAACTGGGAGTGAGCACTTGATCTCGCTCCGTCAGCACGTTGATCGAGCTGGCGGCATTGGACATGATCTCCTGTGCCAACCGGTTCTGGAAGGGAGAAACGACCCGGTCATCACGATTGTCGATGACCAGGAGGGAATTCCTCGTCTCATACTCCTCTTCAACGACCATTTGCTGAACGAACTCTGCACCACGAAAGGGTTGTGGGCGGCAGGGGCAGCACGATCTCGCCTTCCACGACGATCGTCGCGGCCCCAAGTGCCAGATCCCCAGTCTCCCGATGCTGCTGCCGGAGCCGCTGGGTTCGGAGGAGCCTCCGCTTGACCAGGGACATAGTGACCCCAGTTCCCGGGATTCTCAAATGATGGGACCTCCCGGTGAGCTCCCGACGAGCTCGGACCCGCTTGCGGGAAAGAGCTTCGGACGCCCGGTTGTGGGAACGACATGGCGGCACAGGAGGGATCTATCCTGAAAAGCTTCCCACGCCGCTTCTTTTTCGGGCACGGCCGATCGGCTCATGCCAAAATGGCCACGGATCAGAAGGATCACGGCTGTTCTTACGATCGCTAAACTGATCTCCTAATTCCTCACCTACCAAGCCGATAATTAGGAGACATACATGTGCATATGTAATACATGTATGTATTATGTATGTATATACGTATAAATACCACCTAGAACATGCAGAGAGAGAGAGAGAGCGAGGAGACGACAGAAATCGAGAGAGCTGGCTGGGCTGAGCTGGCCTGGAGCTTCGTCTCACTGCCGAGGTCCTTGCCTAGCGAAGGACTGCCATTCCGTTCCCACTCCATGCATGGCAGTCCCGTCCTGTCGCGTCGTGCAGGAGCACCTTGTGCCGGGAAACTGTCAAGGAGGTGACCTCAGTGTTCTTTGAATGCGATCTGTCGCCTGTAGCACTGTTTAACAGCTGTGGCAAAGGACCTGTCGTCGAGACTCCTCCTCAGGAAGCTTGGTCGCCTCGCATATCTCCCTCAGCGTCACCTCAGGGCAGAGACAGCTAGCCTTGGCCGGAACCAGAACAACTTACATTCCGCGCCTGCTGCCTCTGGTTGAAGAGAACCAGTGCAAGACACTGATAGGCCGATACCACCTTGCATAAGCCAGGTCACTTCGGACCATTCAGGACGGGTCACTGTTAGGCCTTGCCAGGCTTTGTCCTGTGTCGTCATATCTTCGCGAAGAGCAAAGTTGTGTTGAGTAGTCTTCCGAATATGCACCCCCCGATTCCAAGGGGGCCATACGCCATACGCACATCACTCGTTGTATAGCATAGCATGAGTACTGATCATCGCGATAACTTCATTAGACATCCGTCCACGAGCACGAATTCACAAGAACGGCCAGTTTCAGAGAGCGCACAGGGCCGGACCAAGATATGGGGCCGTGCCAGCCCGTAGCACTTCAGCTCCTCAGTCTGCAGGAACTCGTTGGTGCTTGGGCGAATGGGAAGCAAGTCAAACATAAACGCAACCAAATATGGTTGCGTGGCGGCCCCTCTCCTCCAAACGGTCCAAAACCTACCGCAAATAAAGACTTGGCACATGGTGGGTTTGCTATATACTACTGCCATACACCTGGCCATTCCCCGGAAATAGTCCCTAATACAACCGGAAGCCCGATACTACAACCAGAAGCCCTATACTGCAAGCAGAAACTGGACCCTACTACAACTGAGCAGTTTTTTGCACAAAAAGGGTCCCTACGACAACTGGAACGTTCTTTGGAGCATCCTTACCTGTCCTAGGAGGTCTTAGGAGGTTTTAGGGCATCCGTACCTGTTTTAGGGCATCCTTACCTGTTTTAGGGCTAGGGTTCCCATCCAGGGTCTATAGTGTCAGACTCCAAACAGCCACTCGTATAAACTGCTAGAATTACTAGGCAATATCATATCGTGGCCTACACTGTAAAACATACAGTAATAAAAAACAATTAACAAAGTTATAAACAAAAAATACAACAAAAGTAAGCATCAAATTGTCAACTCAAAGGGCTATGATATGACCAAAAAACGAAAACACAATCAACAGTATCGGCAAATCCCATACACAAACATTAAAGAAACAAAACAACAAAAAATCAAAGCACTAAACTTTAGGGTTTAGGATTGCTACAAACATAACATTATTGATAATGTTACATACCCTACATACTTTGTTGAATCGAAATAATCCTTCCAACCAACCAATCGAAACAGTCGCGTATTATTTCTTTGGCTATCACTTCTTTACTAATCGAAAAGTCGTTAAATCTTATACTAGTAGTTTTAATCTTATAATATGCGATTTCCTTTTTAACCTGTTCTATATCGTGATTATAAACTGCTAAAAATACTATAAGACTTGGCCAGAACCACGTTTCAAGAGTGATTATGGGCCCCTGAGAGCTGCACCACACTACCCATGTTGTAGATCCACCTGTCAACAACACTCTTCTCGTTTCTGGCTCCAACTTTGGAGTGTGCAAAGTGTGCAAGCGCCGACGGTCTGACTAGAGGCGCACTCAAGACGAAGAGCAGAAAACTTCCCAAGTCCTCGGAGTCCTCGGGGCTTGGGCTATGGTCTGGCCTCAGCTTCCGGCCGTTGTGCTTCGAGTTGTAAAAAGCTTCGTAGGCCTGGCCGCGCAAGTGGTCTTTGTGGCTCACCGATGTCTTTCTGCTGGCCGTGATGCAGGTGGTCATCTCCGGGCAAGGGATCACAGGCACGTCGTGGGCCTTGGTGAGTGTGCAAGGGCGCTTCCACACACTTGCCCGGCTGTGCTCTGATCTGCTCTCACCTTTTCGGGCCAGGCGTTGGTTTGGAGCACTCGAACCTGCATAGACAGGCAGCGGCAGCAGCGGCAACATCACGCCGCATTCGCACCGGTGACCTTGCCTCGTGGGTTACGCCACCCGGAGAACCAGAGTGTGAGGCCTTCATGTACTCCTCCTAGGGCTCAGGAATTGAGGCTTCTATCCGCTCTGTTCGTGCTGGCTCATCGAGGGCACAATAAGACGCACCTGAAGCTGGTCGCTCAGCGCCATGTCCGTGAACATGGAGGCCTGAAGAAACATCTGCTTCCACATGTTGCATGCAGTGGGCTCCGCCCTTTGGGCTCCCTGCCAGCTTTTGGATGGATTGCTGACCACATTCCACCTGCGCGGGATTCTCTTGAGTGTCGGCTGTTCTTCTCGCGCCGGCTCGCCTTCAGCTTGGTGATGAAGCAGTCCTGCAGCTCGCTCGAGTCTGCGGACTGCGAGGAAGAAAGCTCGAACGCCCCCTTCTTCCTCGGCATCGTTGGAGACAGAGAGCTTGTTCAGCAGGCGCCGGGATAAGGCGCTCTGCGGCGAGATACGTCGAGGGCAAACAAGGACCTGCCGCTCAAGCCTTGTAGATGTCCAGGAAAATGTCTTTGTCCTTTCGTGAAAGCGGCGCAACTGGGCAGAGATGAGGACGGCAAAGCGGTTATTGCTCTTCTCGCTTCTCTCCTTGAGATGTGCGAAGAGACTCACCTGGGAGGGAGCTGGAGCTGCGGGAGCGACGTGCGAAGCGCTTTGCCGCTCTGCTCTGCGAGGGCCGAGTCGGGGCCCGGGCGACTTGGTTCACCAAGGTCTGCACTTCCTCCTCGTTCCGGCCCTTCAAGCCCTTCTTCAGCCTGGACTCCGGAAGCGCAACCCGACTCTAGACACGGAAAAGCGGGCCGGCAGTGCTGCATGTCGCAGAAGAGAGCGAGATACTTGGCACATCGCGTGTCCTGTCTCCAAGGAAAAGCACCCAAACAAACAGGCGCCTGAAGAGGGAGAACCAAACTCTACCTTGGCCGACCCCTGAACCCGTAAGAACCATGGATCAACTCAGCGCAGACACTAAGCAGCTCTGTCGTTCGCGAGGCGGAAGAGCGACTGTTGGTAAACATCTAAAAAAACCTGAATCGAAGATGTTTTTTGCTTGGTGGGTTTATACAGTGGGGTGTTTGCTTGAGGTTCCGAAGATGACAGCGCAACTGTCGGAACCCTCTGCCCAGAGGGCGGGGGCGCCTTGTTCAGCACAGCCTCCAGGCCTCGGTTTCGGCCCTTCTGGAATTCGGTGTCGCTGTCGAAGCAGGAAACGACCTCACGAATCTCTAAAGCCCCGTCACCGCAAGAACATCCTGGCCACCCAAGGAATGCCAGCATCAGTGAATGCTACCCTGCATCCTCCTGTAGGGCTCCCGGCCATGTCGTCCACCTCCTTTTTCAGTTCCAGCACCTACGAAAGCAAGTGGTACGAAATAGAACTATGAACTACGAGTGGATGGAACTGTAGAGCATTGATGACCCGCTGTTTCTATTGCAAGCTGTACCCTCTTTCCGGGCAGCTTCACTGCGCAATGCAAAAGGGTGCCTTTTCCATGTACGCGGCGGGGCTGTCGATCATCTGCGGGTCTTCCACAACCCCCCGGGCCCTGCGTGCTCGGGAAAGAAGGTAATTCTGAGCTAGCATCCTCCGTAGCAATCCCCTCAACATCTCAAGTCAGCGCAGTCAAATTTCTGGCCGTCCCTTCCCTTCGAAACCCTCTCTTCTGGCTCCTCCCTTCGATGTAAGGCTCCATGGCGGTGATGATGTGCGGGAGCATCGTCGGCTGGCAGGTTCCAAGGACCAGGCCACTGGACGGTAGACTCCGGTAGACGGTAGGTCACAGCCTCGCGCTTGAAGATCCGGTACATCAACTTCAACCTTGCTCAAGCGGGATACCGATAGGAAGTTCTATACTGCTGCAGTCACCGGAATCTCGGCAAAGGCTTGAAAGCCCTTGGGCCGTGACTCGTCGTAGCGCCGATTGGTGAGCATGGCCTCAAAAGGCTCCGAAGGCTCTGGCCGAGGCGCATGTCGCTATGCGACGTGCCGTGTGNNCCCCCCCCCCCCCCCCATCTTCCTCGCCTCCGCTCCGGTGCTCATCTCCACCAGGTCCTGCCGCGGCTCTCTGGCTGTATAGGGAGCTGTATATGGAGCCGTGTGTAACGCCCAGGAAAACACAGCAGCGGCTTCTGCATCCTTGGCAGTGTTCAGAATCAGCTCTCGCTGCACCACAGTCTTCAGCTCCTTTAGCTGCGGAGTTCTGCGTGTTTTGTGCGCTGGACCGATGCACCCCACGGAACGGGTCAGCTCCATTTTTCCGCAGAGCTCACAGCAACGCGAAGACCTCGAACCTGTCGCCACCGCAGCATGGTGCAGGACTCTCGCGTTCGCGTGAGCTCAGATTCGCAAACACGGGGCGTGCCTGCAAATCTCGAAGGAGTCGCGAACTCCGTCCACCTCAGCTTCCCAACTTGGTTGTCGCCGAGCTTGGGGATGCGCTGCGACGTGTTGCGCTACCAGGTCGTCCTGTGCCGAGCTACCTTCGACTCGCCGTGGTTCTCCTGAGCTGCAATGCGAGCCGTGTGCCTGCGAGTGCAGGCCGTGGGCCCCTGTTGCGGCTTCCTCCAGAAGTGGCGGAGAGCTGAAGGATCGTGATGCGCTGGAGGTGGCTCGTGTAAGGTCCTAGGCATTGAAGCAGACTCGTGTGTAATGAGTCTGCAAGAAAAATGATTTAACTCTTGACGTCGTAGGACTACAGCATCCAACCAATCGCATTGGCAGGCTCTACCAACTCGCCTCGTCCACTGCCTGTTCTTGTTTACAGCACTTGTGGGATCTTTCCCTCTTTGCTTTGCTTTGCTTAGGGCTNNGCTTGAGGCGGGGGCAGGCCCCCCGTCCCTCTCTCTCTCTCTCTCTCTCTCTCTCTCTCTCGCTCTACCAGGTGGGAGGCACCAGGAGCGTTCAGGCCTATACTTCGCGCGCGAGCGCGCGCCCGTGGTCCACGGGATTCCCCACCAAAGCTCAGCTGTGCAAAAAGAAAGTGATGTTGCATGCTTGGAAACTCGGACGCCACCGTCTCACTGACACACAACTGGACACAACACTCTAAGGCCCGGACCGAAAGTGAGCGCAATACGAGGGTGCTTGGCGGGGTTCCGCGAAAGCACAAAGGTAGGTTTCCCTTTTCTTTCGCCAGGGCTCGGGTGAGAGATGGTGAGAGGTAGACCCCTGGCAGGTTTCCCTCTCTCTCTCTCTCTCTCCTGGGCATGGGGGTTCCCCCTCTCTCTCTCTCTCTCATGCCCCTCGCCCCCCATGGCTGTCCTTGTTCACGTGCACCGCGGCATCATCCCCACCGAAGATCAAGCCATGGAGCTGTCAAGGAGCAAGAAGTCAGCGTCGGAGTCGGAGAGGACACTTCGGCACGTGCAGTTCGAGCCTCGGAGGCCTGCATGAGCATTTGGTTGGCGCCCGTCCTCGGATGGACGCATCGCGATGCTTCGTTCGAGACGCTCAAAGCGCAGCCAGCAGTACCAAGTGAAGACGTCCACGGTGCTCTTCCCCTGAAGCCTCGCCCAGCGCAGCTCTGCGACGAAGGGTGCGCGCGCGCGCGCATGCGCTTATGCCCTGCTGCCCTGCGTCTTCCGGCCTCCGGAAGACGAAGGCGTCTTCGGCAGCCCTAAAGGAAGTCATCAGGTCCAAGTAACCGCTGGTCCGGGCCTCGGCTCTCTGCCCTCTCTGCCCTCTCTGGTCTCTGCGAAACCGCAAGTCTCTGAGCTAAGCCGCCCAGATCACGGGAGAGAAGCCGCCCAAAATGTCTCCGAACTCACCTCAGAGCAACTTCACAAACTCCTGAGTCTGAGCACATGGAAGCAGACAAACTCGTGCTTTTTCATGAGCTGCCCTCGGCTGCTCATCAAGAGTATCTGTCCTGTGTCCTGGCTTAGCTACCTACAAGCGCATTGGCTGCTCCGTGAAGCCACTAAACGCGACGGCCAAGCACGTGAGCGTGAAATCCTATGTCTTGGCCCTCAAAAGCGACGCTTCATGCGGCCGAGAGGCTGTAAACGAAAAAGCACATGGCCGCATCTCTGCACCTTAGATTACGTGACCGGAGAAATGCCAGGCAGCCTAATCGTGTGCCCAGGAAACCTGAACTCCAAACAAGCTGAACATCTCATACCGAAGCGTCCTTCCCAAAAACCTGCACTGCTGAAACACCGACAGAAACTGTGACTCCCGAACTCGAGATTCTTCCCTGGGATCCCGGCTTCTTGCACTTTTCTAAGCAGGTGCGCAACGACGTTCCGTCCACGACCTGCGTGAAGAACGACACCGCAATAGTCAACATACGCATCATCTAGGCAAATGTATACAACTGATGGACTAATGGCGAAGAAGCAGCACATACAAATCCATCAACTTCACCAGTCATGTGTTCGAAGGCAGGCCAGACCCCAGTCTTCTGACACTGTGTCGACTCGAATAAAAGGTTCAAGCAAGTCTCTCTTTTGCAAGGAAAACTCGAACCGGAAGTCAAAACATTCATTCGCCTTGTTCCGCAGTTGCACGATTTCAGAAGCACCCGCTCAAGACACACATCATTAGCATCATAGCACACGCGAAAGCTTGAGGAGGGCCAGCCAGTTCCCATGCAAGCGTTCGAGCCCACGCTCAAAAAACAAACAGCAGTAGAATCACAGCACCTCAAAACCAGCCATTCCCCAACTAGATGCTCGAATTCCGAAGCGTAAGCAAACAGGAAAGACACGAGACCGGAGGTGTCCAAAACGAAATCCCAATCTTTGCCTCGGCTACACTCTTGGCCATACCCAAAACCGTCGCTTGTGAGTGACTGACGATTCTAGTTGTACTCAGTTACTAAGTTGTGCTGTTCCAGAGCCCAATTCACGCACACCCCAGGCTGTCTGGGGTCGGCATCCATTGCTACTGACCCATTGGCCAAAACGGTTTCTAATGACGGCAGACACAGAAATTGAGACGTGCGATCAAATCACATGTCAAACATCTGACCCCTGCAACCCCCAGTGTAGACGCTGTTTGTTACGACTTTCTCTTTCGTCTTCCCCCGCGTGTGGGCAAGGATTTCAACAGGATTGTCACGTCTTCTACTGCTGCTGTTGCTGCTCTTGGAACTCCAACTCCTACTCCCACTCCCGCTACTACTACTGCTGCTGCGGCTGCCGCTTACTGCTGCTACTGCTACTGCTACTGCTACTGCTACTGCTGCTGCTGCTGCTGCTACTACTACTACTATTTAAAGGATGCCGATGCTGATCATGCGAATCCTTTCTCGAGTCGAGTCACAAAACCCAGAAGCTCCTGTTAGACCTTGGCTGCCGGGCTGGTGTGTAGATCAAATGCGGGTCGAAGACGCGACAGTTGGCCGGGACCTTAGAGAAACACAGAAAGAGAATGACAGGGCTAGCTTGGTGCGACTCTTCAATTCGAAGTAGGGCCTTAACCGGGAGTTTCGTGAATGCACGGAGTGTGGAGGGTTCAGAGTACTGCTACCGCAAGTGCGTTTCTCATTGCTGAGCCGTATTGCTCGTGACGCGATGCCCGTCATCAGGCAAACTCTTGCCAAAACACTAGCTCTGCCGAAAGCTGTGTCAGTCGGAAGCCCAAAGCATGTTTTCACTGCAACAAGGGCCCATCTAGGCTGAAAGGTGCAGAGGTCCATGCATGAGAGGTGAAGGCTCACAAAGAAAGCACAGCGCAAACTCACAAACAGTCCGTACAACCTGCCCTCCGCAAGGTTGGGCGCCCTGCCCAAGGCCAGATCGCCTCCCAAACCTCATCCGGAACGGAGCCTCGGAAAGATTCGATCGAGATTTGCATGTCGGCGTCAGCTTTGCGCCTCGAGGCTCGTAGAGTCGTGGCCGGCAGAACATGTGCTTCTCGTAGGCCTCTCTCTGGAAGCTTGCGGAAGGCGAGAGGGAAAAGAGAGGGACAAGGGAGCGGTTCTCGCTCCTGCTTCGGAGCAGCATAGGAGATCTTCCAGGAGCTGCTCACCTCAACCGCTCTCTCCCTTCTCTCCCGTCTCTGAGGCGAGCGAGGTCCTGGCTCGTGCCATGGAGAGATTCCGCAGGGGTAGGGAATACGCCACCTGCCGAGTTCGACTCTTTTCTGTACTGGTGGCTGATGTCGCTCTTCGGCGCCATGGAATCCAGCAAGCAGCCCACCTTTCTTTTACCCACCGCCTGCTCCGTGCTATCTGAGTAACCAGCCACTAAACACGGCCAGTACGATGTAGTACAATCACAAAAACTTTACGTACATTCTGGCAGTGCAGTCTACACAAGTCAGGAAGAACTCCGACCCTACGGATGCACTTCGTCGGCAGGGAATGACGAGAAGGCCGCTGAATGTGTGAAATGCAAGTATACAGTCTGTTGACTGCGGCATTGAATTCTGCAGTGGCTTCCGTCTTGGATGCAAGCCGATGGGTGGAAACGATTATCACCCGGCAGTAGCGCTTGAGCACCGTGTAACGAAAGAGGTCTTCGGCTCTCATCCTGGCAGTTCAATGCTGCACCGTCTGACTGAAGAGCTGGCATCCTGGCACCTTCCAAGATCGATCTTGCCAGGACGGGAGGCGGATCCCTCGGCTTGTCGTACCAGAGCGAAGTCGCGACGGCATGACACAACGACCGAGTGCACTGCGGCAGTCCGCGGGAACTGGGCGCACTGCAAGCGATTTCTGAGCCACGCAAGCGGTCGCCAGAGATTGGGGTGTCTGCAGATACCGACACTGTAGAATCTAGAGCTTGGCATGCGGCAGTGCCAAAGGTCAGCAGGACGCACAGACATGCAGCCCGCGCGCATGTTTACGAGACGTCGAGCGCCGTTTGAGTTGCGGGGCTTGTGCCCCAGCAACGCCGGGAGTTCAAGAAGAACTCCATGCAACTCCATGTGCAAGGCGCCAAAGAGCCAAGAACAGAAACTCAGTGGCATTGCTAGCTGCGGGTTGCACACTGGAGAGGCTGCCGAATTTGCATAATTGTGGTGAGGAGCGGGTCGACCCGTGCATGTATGCGGTGTTCCAGTGCTCTATTGTCCGCTTTCTTTGTGTCTACGTCTCGGCGAGACGTGGGAGCTGCCGGTCTCCATGTGCAATGCATGAATTACTGCTCTCCATCGTCAGGTGGAATGAGAGTACTGCAATGTTCTGCACCTGCAACGAAGCAACATCTAGCAGCACTGGCACACTTTCCACAAAACGTTCACAGCCGGACAAGCTTCAGTGCCCCGCCCCAAGTCTCATCATTCCGGCACGTTGCTATGCACAAGACGGAGGCTAGTAGTACCTGGCAAGGAAAACAGAAACAAACCAGGAGCCAACATTGAGACAGGTCAAGTCGACGCGAAGCATCCTCAAACAGGCCACAAACGCATTCTCCCTCGTGTTTGCTGGAGCGTATCAACACCACGAGCACCACTCAAACGGCCTTCCAGCCACGCAAACAAGAACGGAAGCGAGGTGCAGTCGAAGATTTGCCGGTCCTTCTTGGCGCGATACTTCCTCACCTGCTTCACAGCAAACCTCAGCCGCACAGTCGGAGGCCGAGTCGAAGCTCGAGGAAGTGGGGCCGGGCCAAGTCGAGATGGCCAAGGCCCCAAGGACCACTACCACGAGGCAAGGCACCTGTGCCATAGCTGTCGCCATGCGACGGCCACGAGACCCCTGCCGCCCTTCCGCCCTGCCTTCAAATCCACGACACCACGCAGGGCCAGGTCCTTTCAAGTTACAAACTTCCAGGCATATGTCACCACAAGAGGCGACCGTGCTGCCAGCTAGAGAGCAACACGCTTGCTTCCTGAATCGACGTGAAGGGCACCATGAACATGACAGCTGTGAGGCACAGCAGGCTCGAGACCTTAGGAAAGCTGACAGATCGACCGAACCAAGAACTATATAAGAAAGGATCAAGCATTGCAACAGATGCGTCCCACTTTACAACTACGGCAGGAGCAGACTGTACGACCCAGCAAGGAAGCTCAGCCATCGAGAGCCAAGCAATCCCGGCGCAAAGCAAGCGGAAGTGGCCTGTGTGATTACGAGCATGTGCTACCAACAACAGCTGGCAAACTAGGCCACGCCTGTCTTCTGAGCAGGTTTCTCCTTTGGCTCCTTTCACGGCCCAGTACGAAGGACAGCAGAATCCGTACATAGTCACAGAACCCCTTCCAGGGCCTCCGCTGCCTGCTTGCTGTCGGTGCTCTTGGCTTTGACGTCCTTGCCACTCTCCTCCCCGGACCAGCCCCAAACGCAGGGTGCTAGTACTGAGCTTGTGAAACCCGTCCTTCCATGGCTTCAGCTCTCCCTCCGACTCCTGGCATCATGCACACTGCATGACGCAGAGTGCTGGACCACTGCCCGGAAACTTGGGCGCCCGCCTCCTTGTCCTTGCGTGGGGCGGGGGATGCCGCCCGCGACTTCCTCTGTGGACGCCAACACGCTCACGACACGCGAGCGACGCGAGCGGGAGCTGAGGCTCAAGACTTGGGCTTCTCCATCTCCAAATCGATCGGAGCAGGGACCGGAGCGACCTCGAGGGGAGCCTCCAGGAGCAGTGCGATCCATCGAATGAAACCCCGGCCATCGAGGCGCAGACCATCTCGTGCCAGGGCTTCTAGTGATGACAAGACACGGCCACGACTACTTCTTGCAGGGAGCTTCGAGCCAAAGGAGGCATAGTCTGCACTGCACGCAATTTTCTGTGCCACGCAAGGGGCCACCAGGTAGGTCTGCAGATATCGACACCAGAGCTTGGTACGGTAGCGGCACTTGGACGCACAGACACGCAGCCCGCGCGCATGTTTACGAGACNNTCTTGCAGGGAGCTTCGAGCCAAAGGCGGTGAGAGGATCAAGCAGGAGCCGCAGGGTTGGGCCGCAGAGCGAATCAAGTCGGCATGATGCACCTTGGTGAGCGCATTCACCTCTTCGTGGTTGCCCTGCTGCCGCTGGATCATCGTTTCCAAGAAGTCCATGACCTGCTAGGAAGCGCAAGTTTCCACGCCACTCACTATACTACTTTGAAAGCGGGGATACCAGGGGGCG